GAATTGTTTGAAATGTGCTCCTTGGTATTAATCAAATATTTTTGAAAAGCAAGTATGCCTTTCCAAAAATAGTGCAATGTGTGGATCTAGGCCTAAGAGTCAAGGGTTCATGTGTGGTAGCGGCACTACTGATTATTGCTGAATATTACTGATCAGTTGAAATGCATTTTTTGTTCCCCTACCCTGCCTATGGGTATAAAGTAACCAAACTAAGGAACTGCTAAGTGTATAGTTATGATGACCAGATCGTAAATGCTATAGCATCTGGCTTAAAACATGGATCAAATTCAGTCACTGGAAAGTTGTTGAATAATGCTCAGGTGACCTATAAGGCCCAGGGGCCTCTTGTTAAAATTAATTATGTAAAAATGCAGCTCTTTATTTGCTGTGCATGTTACATGTAGCAGAAAACAGAGCCTGTCTTCCTGATTAAAATTGATGAATTTTATATTTGGAGATAACTAAATGCAATTAAACTGTACAGTAAAACTTGGTTATACATTTAATGAAGTCACTGGGAACTATGAAATTACTTTGCTGTAATATCCGTAATTTGTTATATCCGTATAAGGAATTTGTGAAATTTATGCAACTGGGGAACCAAAATAACTTCACTATATCCGTGAATTCGCAATATCCGTTTTTGTACGAAATTAGTTTTACTGTATTTTGTATTTTTGTTGTGAAAGTAGTTTTTTCAGTGGCATAAGATATGTTTGAATTGGTTTTGAGAATGGCAGATTGTGCCTGCAGACTCAGTTTCTCCTGCAACTAACATGTCTTGAGAGAATGCCGTGACTCATCAGTTATCAAACTTTAGCTGGCTTCTTAGCTTTCTAATTGGCCTATTCGTAGCTGTTTACGACATCCATGTTTTTTTTTTTTTAAAAAGTATACATCAGAAAAATGACCCATTTGAAAAGCATTATACTCTTCTGCAAGGTTTAAAAATAATTGTAGAAATTGTGTACCAATTACATGAAGGTATTTTCTTTTTAAAGCTGAGGTTCTTTAAAAGAGATTAAAGTCGGCAACATGGCTTAGTTATTTCAGTTACATGTATCGTTGTATGCTTAGTCAAGAGCAGATAATTATATGATTCTATGATTTTCTCTGTTGCAGAGTAGACACAACTAGGGTGGAGTATATAATTCCCCTCAGAGAGAGTTTTTCTCTCCCCTTTATCTGGGTACAGATAGCAGCCACAACATACTACTTCAGACATAACTGTTCTCCAAAGAAAGAGGTAGGAAAAAACTGAGAGAGTTCAATCTTCATAAAAAAACTGTATGTGTTTGTGAAACACTGATACCCCTGTGAGGCAGCTTATGGTAAAAGATAAAGTTTCTCAAATGCAAGTCAAACTCCAAGTCATTGTAAAGATTGAAAAATGTTGTTTTGCGAAAAAGCCCAAGTACTAACCATTTAAAAGTAATGGATATATAGTTAATTTTTGTTAAAAAGTAGGTCAAACTCCAAGGTCAAAGGGTCAAATTTAAGGGTACCTAAGGGAAGGCCTTGTCATAAGTCATATACCTGTGGAATATTTTAAAGCCTTAGCTCAGTTACAGCAAAAGTTAAAGTTTAAATGGTTGGTCAAACTTTAAGGTCAAGCTCAAAAGTTAAAAAATAGTTATACTCATGGGAAGGTCTTTTCACAATAAATTTACTTGTGAAGAATGAAAATTTAAGCACCAGCAGTTAAAAAGTTATTGCCAATTAAGGTTAAAGTTTGGATATTTTTTTGTAAAAGTGGGTCAAATTCCAAGGTCAAGAGGTCAAATTTTTTTAGTACATGTACCCAAAGATGGTCTTCTCACAGGGAGTGCACTTGTGTATATGAAGTATGAAAGCCATAGCTCCAATTAATCAAAATTAATGAGCAAGGCTAAATTTTTAGTGGACAAAAAGAGTCAGATGGATAGGACCAAAGCTATATACAATGTACCCTCAATTCCTCAATAAAAGGGTCATGAAAATTGTGTTTATAAATAGATTTGTAATGTTCTTAATATTACCTGTAATTTACTTCCAGAAGCTGTCTGTGGTGATTATCTTCCTTTCCACCCTGTGTTTCTCCCTCTGCTGGCAGTTTAACCAGTTTGTACTGTTACTGCAGGCCTTCGCTTTATTTGGAACCTGGGTCCTGGACATGGTGCCTTCCAGAAAGGTTATTTAAATGTGATTTATGCTAGACTTTGTTATGTTTCTGAAACTGTTCATTATCTGAATGGATCTCATAACTCCTTAAACCTTTGAAAAACTGCTGCCTTTACTGATCATCATGGAAATCTAGTCGGCAAACGATCTGCTTGAAGGATTAAAATGTGCAGCTTTTCTTTATCAAAATTGTGAAATTCAGGGTTAGCTAGGCCCCAACAAGAGCTTTAATGTATCATATATTGAAAATACAACATATATAGAGATCATTGGCCTTTATATAATCATAGATATCTCATATGTAAACTGATGGATGAGCAGAAAATATAGTATCTACAAAAATTATGATCCTTAGCTAGATACCAGGGTTGGGGGGAGGGGTTAAAATGGTCATATCTTGAAAAAATATTTTTGAATCATCTGTAAAATATGTCAGATTTTCAGCAGAGCTAATTCTGTAGATGACTAATAAGAGAAGTATAGGACTGTGACCTTGTATATTTCAGATTCAGATGCTGTTTATTGCCCAGGGTACCTCTTTACTACTCACGTGCTTCCTGCAGTTCTTCAACAAAATGATCCTAGGGTCTTTAGTCATGAGTTTTATTCCCTCTGCCCTTCTTCTTATCCAACTCAAGGTAAATGAACAAAGGAAAGCTAATTTTTTGGTAAATGAAATGCACTTTGTATTCAGTAATTTAAAGGACTCTTGTGTGTTTTGAATACTGTATTTACATATTGACTCATTCTGTGGAATTTTTCTTGTATCTTCAGGGAGATGAGATGAAGCCGTGCAGTGTTCCTAGTCGAATCATTAAAGTGTTTGGTTACTCTATAACAGTTCTGGTCTCCATGATAATATTACAGAATTTATTCAAGGTACACCATATATAAATAGCATAAGTTTACATGTAGTTTGTGAATTTTTGAATTATTGAAGGATCTAATACATATTCAATCAATGCTATAACCAGATTTTGATTTGATTTTATTCCAGATAATACTGGGGATTGATGCAGATGATCATATCTACAAGTTTATCATGTCAAAATTTAATGTGGGTCATGCAAGGTGAGAGGCAAATATTATTGTAAGAAATCACTGTAAGATGTAATCTTGATAAAGTATCATATGAACTGTATAACTGAAAAGAATATACAGAATTCAGGGGTTTTCCTGGCTTGTTTTTGGGTCCGTTTACAGGACCCATTCCCAATCAAAAATTCAGCCATATTTTCCCAATTCTGAATCTTTTTTTCCCAATTTTGTATCCTTAAATTTTTTTAGAGAGTTCAGAAAGAAGTACAATACTTTGTTTCCTTGCAAGATGTCTGAAAATCTCAACAGGTGTCAACATGCGATCGTATCATCGCTCTATATAATTTTTTTTATCATCCAATAACAGCTGAATAATGTGTAACACTTTATATCTGTCTACAGATGTTTACTCTATTGTAAAACAGACACTTATTGGTCCCTTCATTTTCATTTATATGGGAAAATAACAAAATTAGTCCTTTTTAAAATTTTCCCAATTTGATCGCATTTCGCGTCATTTTTCCCAATTCTATGGACCCCGAACCCAGTTAAAAAATGGTAGGAAAACCCCTGGAATTTTATAGAATGTTTAGATTGAAAATATGTTTAAGAGAAAACAAATAACTTTTGTGTGAGTTAAAACATTTTATGAACTTCAAGTTTAAATTTTTTTATGCATTGCAAGTTTGATTTAGATAGGGAAAATATTTCTAAATGTCTTTAAAAATCTTTGTTGTGTTTTCCGGGATTTTGATGCCATGTTGTACCTATGTATGGATACCTTTTGCCTCCTCCAGTTTGATATTTTTTTGTGTTTTCAGGGATTTTGATGCCCTCTTGTACCTATGTATAGATGCCTTTGGATTCCTTCAGTTTGACACGTTTGAAAGACTCACACAAGGAGTTGTCTTCCCTTTATATGTTGTCACACATCTAGGAATGTTAATCATTTTATTTATAGCAGTTTTACAGAACTGGAAGTAGGTACACAAAGATCAATGCTTTTTCAAAAAAACAAAAAAAAAAAAAACAACGCGGTAAATTGGTATAACATGTTTAGAAAACCTGCTGCATTATTTTGTACAATAGCTCAAAATTTAAACATTGTTCTCATGTACCCATATACAGACGTAAACAATACCCTAAAATCTTGAAAATAAGACGGATTTAATAATAAGCTGGTTTTGAAAATAAGCCACCTATTTCTTGCATTAAAAATTACTCGAAAATAAGCCAGTTTTGAAAATGAGCCGGTCATGAGAATGCCATTTAGGAAAGATGTTATACGTTTGACGATTTCCTCGTCTTAAAAATTTGACGAGTAAAAACTTTGACGATATTTATTTACTGTGCAAAATAAAAAGTTATCTTTCTTTAACTTATAATACCCAGTTTAAATAATTCTGTACATAATCATCTCAGACATCTGATGAAATTCCTAAAATTCAAAACCACTAACACACTCGCAATACATACAGACACACACACAATAACTCCCTGCTCCGTAGGTCTGCCTACTGGTCAACTGGACTGAAAGAAATTAGATTGATTAGTGCAATGCCTGCATGCTGGTTAGAAAGTGAACTCGGCTTGCTGCTACCTAAATTTACAAACACCTAAAGAAAATTTCAGCTACCTAAAAATAAATAAATAAAGTCTAAATATTGAACTTACAGTGAAAAAAAAATATATAAATACAAAAATAATTTGCAAAAACAAACAATTATCAACCTGAAAAAGAAAAAAAATACACTACTACAGCCAAAAGTTTACAAACAGACTTGTTTACTATAAATAGAAACAAAAATAGACCTTGGGAATTCCCTTTTTACACTTAGTCCTCAGTATTCAGTACAGACAATACATAAGACGAAGACAATCACTTGCAAAAACAAATATGACATAAATGCACATAGAATAACATAAGAAAATGACCATTTGTATGCACAATTGTTTACAGTACCTTTGCTCCGCAGACTAATTCACGAATCACGTTGTCCAGAAGACTCCATTTTGGTCGGTCATTGGTTCGCTGCGCGCATAACTGTGACGTCACGGTTCCGGAAGTTATCGGATTCGCCTCTCGGGATCCGCCTGTGAATTCACACTGTTACGAACACACCTTTACAATAACGTTCGACCAGCTCCAAACACAACACAACACTCACAGCTGATTTAGAATAGGTCCATATGAATTCAATACACACATAGACACACAGGTTATACCGTCGAGTGTAGCATAGGCCTATAATTCACTGGAATGGAAATGAAAAGGTCAGCGACTTCTCTAAGTCCGCCTTCTCGCCAATCCGCTCCCCGGGGATTTTTCTATGGATCCTCAGTCTTGTATACCTGGTTTTCCAATTATCGTGGGCGCCATTTGTAGACCATGTCGGTAATACTTGGGTTCATTGTTACTTCAAGACACAATCAAGTCAATGGTAGTTTGACTAGTATATTTATTGACGGTAATAATATAAGAAAAACCTGAAATAAAGTCATTATAATTAATAATAAACATTTACAAATCCTTACTGACTTTACTTTTAAATTACAAATATAATAAGAAATAGATAAGTGATAAATATATTTACCAGGCACACTATATAAATCAGCTACTGTAGATAGATATGACTATTCCTGTCAAGGGTGTAGCGCCGAGTGTGTGTGAATATTGTTATCCGCGGGAAAGTTAGTCAAAAGTTATTAATAGAAAGAAACTAGTCAAACCGGAAATGGTCAAATACGTCACCAAATAAACACTCACATGTGGACATTCACACATGACAACACAAACGTAAACACACATAATAGAAATAATTAAAACATTGAAACTGAAACATTTAATTACTTACACTGGTTACATTGCATTAAAAATTACTCGAAAATAAGCCAGTTTTGAAAATGAGCCGGTCATGAGAATGCCATTTAGGAAAGATGTTAAACGTTTGACGATTTCCTCGTCTTAAAAATTTGACGAGTAAAAACTTTGACGATATTTATTTACTGTGCAAAATAAAAAGTTATCTTTCTTTAATTCATTTAACCTTTACCAATATCTGCATACGACATAGTACAAACGAATACGAATAACGACGTCATAGCAGAACGAAGTCTGTAGCTACTAATGAACGTATGTAAAATTACTAATAAAGGGTTGTTTATAAAGTTAATTTTTTTTTACCAGTAATCATGTTACGCTGGCTAAAAAAACTTAATTGCGGAACCAGCTAAAATGGTGAATTTTTTTCATGAAATTGTCAGAACAATAATTATCTCATCTAGACCTGTACAAGCTAACGATGTGTTATAAGGTGGTAATAATTAAATAAGTAAATGGATAAAAGGAAGTTTTTGTTTGTAAAGCATTTGTAACGGGGGTGGGGGCGGACGGTCCTCTCCTACTACTACTGGGACCGCACTCCCTCACTCTATCTATAGGGACTGTCTTATCTTTCGTGGCAAGGCTTGCGTTACACAGCTCAACCCGAGCTCAGGAGGGCTAGTATGGAACAGTGGTTAAAAACTCAATACTCTTTAATCTTATATCACCACACACTAAATTATCTCCCTTTAATCAATGAACTGAGATAATACACCACTATTAATACACGAAATCTCTCAGTTTTACTTCTCTATTTGTCAAGCTTGTTACAACCTAGACCTAAGGAAGTCACTATAAATTCTCTAATACTCATTTATTTCATTACTCCGTTCTTACTCTTTTATATCCCACAATTTCCATCTTGTTGGAAAATCACACTTTGATAAAACCTTATAAATCTCTGTACTTGAAATGAGACAAAATACAGTTTTACAATTTATTACAAGAATTATCTCTCAATTAAACAATCAACAAACAAATTCTAAGCTCTCTCTCAGTCTGTCTGTGTCACCTATTAGTCCTGACTTACCTAAAACCAACCTCAATACAACTCACAAAACTCCTAATTCTCAGAACTTCCTTCCAGACCTCCTGGATGAAAGTAAAAACCAATAACTAAAACTTAATCCCTTAAACCTAATTAATTCCTAACAAATTTCAAACACCAGTAATTCCTGCAAATTTCCTAAGTCTGAATTTCAGTTAAAAACAGTAGCAAAATTTAGAAATACACTAGCTTCCTTAGCTAAGTGTATAAATTACATAAACAATTTCAAGTAATTCTAAAATTTAACAATAATTTACCAAAAATTCAAACAACCAGCAAATTTTAACCAAGTCCAATTTCTCAGTTAAAATTCACTAAAACTTGGCCAAAACTTCCTATAAAATTCCACAAATATTCCAAAAGTTCCTAAAAATCCTTAAAATAACCCTGACTCTTCTTAAACTAAAACTAAAAAGTCATTTTTTTTTGCATTGATAATAAGCCGCAATTTGAAAATAAGCCCCCACTTTCTTACCAAAACTTAAAATAAGCCGCGGCTTATTTTCAAGATTTTAGGGTATACCGGTATTAGCCATATTTAACATTACTTGTACAAATTTAATTTTTACAAAGCTAAAAATATATTTGTTCTAGCTTTGCTCCCACTTTATTCTTCCACTGACACATTGTAAATATGCATATGGATTTTGTAGCAACCATGTACATGACACCAATGTCAAAGATCACACAAGTGCCAAAAAAACTCATCTTCTGAGTTGTCGTCCAGAATTAGCCTACCATGCAGGTAAACACCTTTGTTATTGCTCACTTTTAACATCAGTAACATATTGAAAGTAATAGTGTCTTAAAAGGTTTATTGGTATTGCTTATTAGTTAAAGGTGGTGATATAAGAATAACATTTGACTTTTTTGAAGATTTTACAAGATTATATTATTTGAAATGAAGAATTATCATGTAGGTGTTATTAAGGTCTTCCGTTTCCGACGGAAGACCTTCTACTGATTCTGATGATTAAGATTATTCTTATTATTCTTTTTTTTTTCCTTTTCCTAGACGCCAACTTTGAGGCCTCATATTTCACTCATTTCTCAATGGATTTTGCTCAAATTTTCAGAACTTATAGACGTTACTAAACTCTATCAGAATTTTGTCTAGCATTCTAAAAATTCACTTCCGGTTTTGAGTTATTTCCCTTTAAACGAAATTTATAGGCTTTCATTTCCAGACAAAGGCTCGGAGATGGCAAAAGCTGGAGCAGAAATTTTACTGATTTTACACAATAGAAGGATTGAAGTTGTGCATGGCAGTTTTTGTTTTTCGATTTCTCTATTCAAAATGGTGCTATATAGGGGTCAAAAATTAGAACGCCTAAAAGAGCGAAAAATTACACATATTTTGCTTTTTATCTTTTAAACTAAAAACATTTTGTTAATACATATAGAACAAAATTTGTGCAGAATTATAAGATCTTTTTAATGATATCTCGAAAAAAGGGCTGACCCCTAAATTAAGGGATCTAGAGGGGCCAAATATTTTTTCCAGATATCTCAAAAAGTATTGAGAATTTGTAATACGTCTAAGAAGCAAAGTTGTTTAAAATGTCCAGCTTAATGTATTGAAGTAGTCAAAATTCGTCCGGCGACGTTACTTCCGGTCAAACCGGAAGTCGTCAGAAAATGCATATTTTTGCCGCTGTTGACAAGTTTTCGGGTAACATATGTCACTGGAAGCATAAAACTTAATTTTCCGTCCGTCGACATCACTTCCGGTCAAACCGGAAATAGCCAAAAATAGCTTATTTTTTAAGGTTTTGATGCAAAATTGAAATTATAAAGTGACTGGAGACGACCTAGCTCATTGTTTTCTTTTGTTGTCGTCACTTCCGGTCAAAACAGGACGGAAGACCTACTCGTTGCTTTGCAACGAGCTTTGCTCTAGTTTATGACATATGTTTGTTCCAGTATTAGCGGTATTCTTTGGGATGCTGGGAATGTCTACACTACGGATGAAGTACCTGTGGACTCCCTACATGTTTATCTTGTGTATGATTTATATGTTACAGTATTAGCGGTATTCTTTGGAATGCTGGGAATGTCCACACTACGTATGAAGTACCTGTGGACCCCCTACATGTGTATACTGGGGAGTGTGGGAATCAGTGACTACAAAGTTTGGAGGACCTTACTGTCTCCCCTCAAAACACAGGGCATTATTGTAAGACCTTACAAATTCTCTACTGCTGGCTTAGTAGTTCTCTAACGTTAGTGGTGAAATCACAAAATGACTGGATAAAATGTCATTTTATCCTATCATTGTCATATCATCTATTGATCATTTGATATAGGTGTTCTGTTCTCTGTTATGTTACAGGTTCAGATAGTCAGGCACTTCATGACTTTGCTGACTCTAACAATTTTATTGGCAATAGTAAGTAAACATTGGTTTAACAAAATAATTTTATTCATGGAATTCTTTTAAAAAAATATTGTTAAAAAGACACATAGAGGTAATTTTATTATTTTTTTTTTTAGATTTAATTATTTAGTTAATGTTTAGAAATTTCATTTACAGGTGACTCTCGATGGCTTGAACTCCGATCTCTCGAAGTTCTCGATCTCTCGAAGTTAATCTCCGGTGCCGTTTTTTTCCTCTATATAACTAAGCAAATTTACTCCTGATCTCTCGAACTTCTATCTCTCGAAGTTCTCTATCTCTCGAACCAAAACATGGGTCCCATTACACATATTTCATTCAATTTTACTCTCTATCTCTCGAAGTATTGATTGCGTGTGTATACAAGCCAATCAAGCGTAAATTTGATGCAACCTGAACTTACCTGGAAAACGGTGAACGCCAGGGGCTTGGCATTGAGGTGTTAATTGGGTGTTTACATAGATGACACTTCACCTGTGGGTAGTCCGTGTGTTGATATAATAAATTGATTATTATTGGTAAATTATAAACTGTTTTTAAATTCACCACTATTTTGACTTGAAAACGAGTAGAGTCGACATAATCCCAGTATGGCAAATATTGCACAAGAAATTCCTTTCTGAAGTACTAAATTCCAATTAAGAAAAATCTTGTGAACATTGGTGTACAGCAGGTGAAGGACCCGATCAAGCCGCGGATATTCAAACCGACAATTGCTATTCGGATTTCATGTAATCAATAAATAAGAACAGATAAGTATTGAAACTTTAAGAATTCGTTTTATTCAGTCGAAGTACGATCATTGTTGTTGAAATCAAGTAAATATTACTTGTAAAATACGATAGAAAACGTGCAATGACTTTATTTACATATACTTCCGGTATCTATAAAAGTAGAACTTCGATGATCGGAACTGAGAATTCCGGATTTTATTTACTTTCTATCTCTCGAACCCTTCGATCTCTCGAACTTTTCTCACGGTCCCTTGAACTTCGAGAGATCGAGAGTCACCTGTATATGATAGTGTATCACTTTTTAGGCACTTTCACCTCTATTGAAAGAATTAGAAGAATTAAAAGAGTTTTGGGATCCAGATACTGTTGAACTCATGGAATGGATCAAGTAAGTATGGGGAGTAATTAGAAAATCAGATCTTTTACAAGGGCAAATATTAATGGGTGAAATTCAAAAACATAATATATCTTCTTGAACATAATCGAACTGAGAGGGGGGAAATTGATTGCAAGCCTAAAAGGGTAAAAATAACACAACAAAAAAAGAAACCCTTGTAAACAGTAACTATATTCAGTATTTCAATAAGAAAAAATATATAGAGTTATCTCTCTTGAACTGTAACAGGTCCAATGTGCCAAAAGGAGCCGCGTTTACTGGCAGTATGCAGCTGTTAGCCGGAGTCAAACTGTGTACGGGCCGACCAATCACAAACCATCCGCATTACGAGGACAAATATCTCAGATTTAAAACCAAAGAGGTTAGTTTATGTCACAGGTTGGTAGCCAGAGAGTAAATAATTATTGTCCCCCGCTTGAAAAGTGGGGGATATTAATTTGGGTCTGTCCATCCGTCCGTCTGTCTGTCCTTCTTTCTGTCTGTCTGTAATGCTTTCGTTTCCACACGATATCTTGAGAACCCTTTGAGCTTTTGCAATGGAACTTTGCATAGTAACTCCCTATGGACTAAAAAAGACCCCTATTGATTTTGAGGTCAAAAGGTCAAAGGTCAAGGTCATAAATTTGCAAATTCTGTCTGTTATAACACTTTCGTTTCCGCGCGATATCTCGAGAACCCTTTGAGCTTTTGCAATGAAATTTTACATAACAACTCCCTGTGGCTTAAGGAAGACCCCTATTGATTTTGAGGTCAAAAGGTCAAAGTTCAAGGTCATAAATGTATACATTCTGTTTGTGTGTAACACTATCGTTTTCGGGCATTATTTCAAGAGGATGTTGAGCTTTTGCAATGTAATTTTATACCAAAACTCCTTAGGACCTCTCTCACTCCTCTCAAAGTGTCCCGCCCAGTTTGTTTTATTAGTATTGATTGTATTACATGTCGCTATTTTTAGCACAGGGGCATGAAGGAGAGTTGTTATGTATAAAGCAGGTTCTCGGTGGACTTTATATTCTTATTACATCTATTAGAACTGTTTAACAAAGGTTAAATTAGACAACATGCATAGTGTAAAATTTTGACAATATATCGAACGTGAATATATACATGTATGTGACTTAATGTTCGTATATAATTTTCCCCGGATAACGCGGCTCCGTGGTCTAGTGGTATGTCTCTCGCTTCACACGTGAGAGGGCCCGGGATTGAATCCCTGATGGTCCAATTTTTTTTTTTTAGAAATACTTTTTTTTTTTACTAAATGATAGTATTCAGCATGTGAAATGAAAAATTTATGAGATCTGGCTTGTACAAACACATAAAATCATCATTACAGTGTAATAAATATTCCATAATAAAAGACTCATCTACACACATAAAAAAGAATAATCAATCAAACCTTTATATCCATATTGGCATATTTTATTTGCTTCAGTATACATTTAATAATTCTACAAATTCAGTCAAGGGGATCCAAACCCACACCCCCCCTCCCAACCTCCGACCCCCGAACTGCACATGGTTTACTTTTTCCCTAAGCGGGGGACACAAATTCTCTGAATTAGCTTGTTTTGTTTCAGATATGAAATTGTTATTTCAATTAAAAATATATTCTCTTTACAGCTTTACCAGATATATGGGAGAAGAACTCCTAAAGATGTCCATGAAATTTTAAAGAAGTACAAATCAAGTTATATCATCTTAGAGGACAGTATTTGTTTAGCACCATCCAAGGGGTGTCGGACACCCGATATTGTAGATATTGATAATGGAGTGGTAAGTCTTTAGTATAGTGTATCTAAGCTCTTGTTTACTTGAACATTGTAAGGTAACATTGAATAATGATGATGTCTTGGACTTTGGTTGCTTAATAACTACTGTAAATCACTTTTATTCATGAGAACTTTATTTTCGCGTAATTACGTGAGACAGTGTGCTTGCGAAAATTTAATTCTCACGTATAATAGTATTCCTTAAGATTATATAGAGCAATAACCACAATTCGTGAAAATTTTGTCTCGCTAATCAAGAGTCAATGACTATCTCGCGAAAATAAGGAATCACGAAATTTTAGTGATCTACAGTATACATTATCTGTATAGTTAGATATGTGAAAAACCAAGTTTGTCCTCAAATTCATTTACTATTCAATTTTACCACTTGATAAACTATTTTGAATAATATTCCTCTTGAACTGGCATGGGTTTTTTCCCTATAATCATAATCGTTTGCCAAAAATAATTTTAGGTTAATTAGAAAAATTCTTTTGTGTTTATCATAAATATGGTGGAGTTTCTGTTTACTTTTAGATCCCAGATCATGGTAAGGCAGAGCCAGGATTAGTCAAAAGCAACATTCCTAGATTTTGTGATGAAATACGATATGAATCTCCAGCGTATACAAAATATTTCAAACTTGTGTTCAGTAATCGGACATTCCGTGTTCACAAAGTATTATGAAATCTCTGATGTCATAATAATATTTAGCTATTGACTGTTTAATTAACTCTTTTACCTGCTCCCAGTTTTATGTCCCTGTATTTGAAGATTAAGGGGTATATAGTTTATGGCCTGTTTGTCTGTCAGCAAAGACTTTTACCATTGCCTTATTTTTTGGATTTATCAGTGTTTGGAGTTTCATTTTTCACATGTATATTGCCTTGTGACCTCTTAACCTTGACCTTGGAGTTTGAATTACTTTTGGAAAAAATATTCTTGAAGTCACTTTTGATTAGTTGATGTTATGCAGTGATAGGGAAGGGCTTGCGCCACGCGCCATAGTCACATTGAAGTGAAAAATTGCCCATTAAATCAATCAGTCATAGCACCAAGGTGCGCATTCCATTTTTAGCGATGTTATTTGGAAATATTTTGTGTACGACTTTCTTTCTTGTTTTACTTTCGTTTTGAATGCAGTCAATTTAAAACAACAAATCTCATTGGTTGAAACCTGTCAAAAAGTACTTCCGGTTAAACGAAGCACTTACATGAGGTACAATACTTCATTCATTTGTATGGTAGGGCTGTGCCCTTTCCAAAAATGTCGTAATTTTAATACAAAATACGAGTCAGTTATATTCTAAGCAAGTACCTTTAAATTTGCTGCATTTCATGCGTTAAAAGTCGGATTTGGTTAATTAAAAACGTGTTTTCTTGCGTATTTCATATTTTTTTTTTGTCACTTTGTTATTTCTTAAAATGGCCCTTCAGATTATATTGAACGCCCATTTATTTTCGAAATGGCCCATCAAAAATGTTGTCAGTTGCGCCATAGTCCCATTGACCATTTTGGCCTTCCCAATCACTGGTTATGGCTTTCTTATTTTACATTTGTCTTCCATGTGACAAGCTCTTTCCTTGGGTAGCACTATTTACATGAATAGAGACAGTAAGGCTCTTGACCTTGGAACTTGACCTAACGGAACTTCTGAAAACTATAATCTTGGTCATAGCTTTTGAATGGTTGATATCATTGTCTTCAAATTCCTTGAGACAAAATCTTCCTTTTTTGAACCAATTTTTCTTTTCTCTTGGCTGTGACTTGTGAGTTTAATTTGCATTTCAATTTTTTTCCCTTGCATGGGCATAGCTGCCATACGGGAGCATCAGTGTTTTACAAATAGATAATGTTTTTCCTCAATTTCAGTTGATTTATATTTTTTGGTCCCATGTATGTTTGATATGCTTATTTCTGTGCTGTTGTTTTCATTAATTGTATACATTTTTTTCTGACTTGGAATAAGGGTTATTCTTCTTTTTCATAAAATCAGTGTCTTTTTGTAAGTATATGGATTTTCTCATCACCATATACATGAACATTTTAAAAGCCATACTCTTTTAATGACTCAGATTTTTAAATTGAACTTCAGAATGCGACTTGCTGTTTATTTTTAAAAAGATCTGGAAAAAAAATTATTGATATCTAAAAGTGAATTCCTAATTGCTTATTGTATGAAAAAAATTATTTCCATTTCTTTGGATAGAAAAATTTGTTAATATTGTATAAGCTGTGTTTTCTACGGCACAGTGACACATCAAATATGTATCAATGTTCCAATCTGCTTGACATAACAGTTTGAAGGAATTTTTAGAGAAAGTGTCTATTACACATACCGGTAATTATAAAAAAAAAATGAAATATCAGAAATGAATTTAATAGCTACTCAACTGATACAGGTACATTTACATGTACATGTATATACTGTAAATCACTTTTTATTCGCGAGAACTTTATTTTCGCATAATTACGCGAGACAGAATGCCCGCGAAAATTTCATTCTCGCGTATTATAGAATTCCTTAAGATTATATAGAGCAATGGCCACAATTCGTGTAAATTTTGTCTCGCTAATAAAGAGTCAATGACCATCTCGCGAAAATAAGGTGTCGTGAAGATTAAGTGATCTACAGTACCACTAATAAGCATAAACTGACCCAAGGTTATACAAAAGTAGAGGTACTGTGAGCATGAAGGTCACTAAATGATAAAACACCCCCCACCCCCACCCAATGGTTATAAAGGCCAAGTCCAATTTTGCACTTGGTGTTAGATTAAAACGTAAAATAGGAGGTGCACAATGGCATTACTAAAGTGTAATAAAGAATCTTTGAAAGTATCGTTAAATTTTATTCAGTGGTAAAGGAGGAGTTGCAGATAAGAGCTGGGTACCCTTCAATATTATAGAAAAAATGGCTGTGCTCATTATTTGCTCTGGGAAACCCATAATATACATATATGTCCGATCAAAAAGTAAAAAAGGAGGTGCACAATTGCATTATAAAACAAAGATTCTTGAAAAGTCTCATAAAATTTTATTTAGTGGTAAAAGTGGAGTTGCCAATAAGAGATGGGTACCCCAAAGCATAACGGATGGATGTACAGACAGATGGATGAACAGACGGATGGACATCCCAATCACTATATACCCTCATGTTTTTCAAGAGGGGGTGATAATACCAAGGGTAGTATTAAATCCATTTCTTGTATAGATCCAAATATCCAATGACGTGTAAACTAAAACTTTAAAAATCAAAATTTATAACATCTAGTCAAACTAAAAGTAAAAAGAAGTGAAATAGCTTCAGAATTTCTTGCCATTTTTTGTTTGCCAGTATAATTTATTGTATTTATGCACTATTATATGTAGAGCTGAACTGCTGTGTCTCAAACTTCAAAAACTGAATTCCATGGATATATCAAAGTAAGATGGAGGTCCCAACCATATTTTCTTCAATATGTTTTTTAGCATAGAGATCTCAAATTGTTTATGTGAAAAAGAGGTCACAAAAATTAGCAGGGTTTTAGTTGATATGTTATTGTTTTTTTTAGCTCACCTGAGCCAAAGGCTCAAGTGAGCTTTTCTGATCAAAATTTGTCCGTTGTCTGTCGTTGTCGTCGTCGTTGTCGTTGTTGTAAACTTTTCACATTTTCATCTTCTTCTCAAAAACCGCTGGGCCAATTTCAACCAAACTTGCTACAAAGTATCCTTGGGTAAAGGGGATTCAAGTTTGTTCAAATGAAGGGCCACGCCCTTTTCCAAGGGGAGATAATTATGAATTAGAGAAAAATTAATGGCATTTTTAAAAAATCTTCTTCTCAAGAACCACTGGGCCAGGAAAGATGAAACTCATGTGGAATCATCCTCAGGTAGTGTAGATTCAAGTTTGTTCAAATCATGACCCCCAGCCTGAGGGGTAGGGTGGGGCTAAAATGGCCAATCAAATTTTTACATAGGAATATAAAGGAAAAATCTTTAAAAATCATCTTCTCAAGAACCACTGGGCCAGGAAAGATGAAACTCATGTGGCGTCATCCTCAGAAAGTGTAAATTCAAGTTTGTTCAAATCATGACCCCCAGGGGTAGGATGGGGCCAAAATGGCCGATCAAAGTTTAACATAGGAATATATGGGAAAAATCTTTAAAAATCTTCTTCTCAAGAACCACTGGGCCAGGAAAGATGAAACTCATGTGGAATCATCCTCAGGTAGTGTAGATTCAAGTTTGTTCAAATCATGACCCCCAGCCTGAGGGGTAGGGTGGGGCCAAAATGGCTGATCAAATTTTTACATAGGAATATAAAGGAAAAATCTTTAAAAATCATCTTCTCAAGAACCACTGGGCCAGGAAAGATGAAACTCATGTGGCATCATCCTCAGAAAGTGTAAATTCAAGTTTGTTCAAATCATGACCCCCAGGGGTAGGATGGGGCCAAAATGGCTGATCAAAGTTTAACATAGGAATATATGGGAAAAGTCTTTAAAAATCTTCTTCTCAAGAACCACTGGGCCAGGAAAGATGAAACTCATGTGGAATCATCCTCAGGTAGTGTAGATTCAAGTTTGTTCAAATCATGACCCCCGGGGGTAGGGTGGGGCCAAAATGGCCGATCGAATTTTTACATAGGAATATATAGGAACAATCTTCTTCTCAAGAACCATTGAGACAGGAAAGATGAAACTCATGTGGAATCATCCTTAGGTAGTGTAGATTCAAGTTTGTTCAAATCATGACCCCCGGGGGTAGGGTGGAGCCAAATGGCCAATAAAAGTTTTACATAGGAATATATAGGGAAACCTTTTAAAATCTTCTTTTCAAGTACTTCAAAGCCATGCTTAGTGATATTTATAGGGAATCATCCTCAGGTAGTGTAGATCCTATTTTGTTCCAATCATGACCCCCTGGGGGTTAAAAATCAAGCCCCCCCCCCTCAGTAAACTTTCAGTTCTAATCTGATTTGTGCTTTTTCCTAGCCAATTGCTCAGGTGAGCGATGTGGCCTCTGGGCCTCTTGTTCCCTTGTGTTTCATTTAAATGTACTAGTTATTAGTATATTACGTTTGCAAATATAGCTTACTTGATTATATTATTGTGATTTTTGGGGATATTGTGTGGTTTTTTTCCTTTACTTTACGTCGTTTTATTTTTCTTTCCTCTGATTTATATAAAATTTATTTGTTACAATAAAAAAAGAACTCGCAATTACTTGAATTTTTGTTTTAAGATTGAAGGAAACAAAGAATCTCTTTAAACAATTTAGCCATGTAGTATTGTTTAAAAAATGATCGATAAAAAAACCAAGAAAAAAATGAGGGAGTGTGCTCACTGGTCTCTGTCACTTTTCACTGGAAATTAATGTACTGTTCCCAAAATTTTAGCCTGTTCACTTATAAAAAAAAAATACCATCATATCCCACACTCCAAGCAAGATGGGAAGTAAGTTCTATGGTTGAAAATAATTTATCTTGAGTCAAATGCTGACTGACGTGTTTCATACTAATTATTAACTCCATTATTTTGAAACTGAATTGACGGATTTTCCCGTTACTTCCCGATCATGCGTGTGACCGGTCGATGCTCACTCCTCCATAGCACCTGATCCTAACTCTGACGTTTTGGAGGACCGCGTTTGCTCTACACCTATTTTGTATTGTTTTATATCCCAGTGAACGTGAAATAAAAAAAAAATACCGAAAAATTTGACATTTCTGTTTCATATTTGAAATTTTTAGTTGAAAAAAAAATGTAAATGGTAAACTAACAACAATCCTTTATTATAAGCATGATGACTTTAACTTTTCCATCGGTATCTACCGTTACTTATATGGCAATAGACCTTAATCGACTGTGTTTGGATTTTTTTTTATCTCTTAAGTTGATTCGACACGCAAGAGAATGTTTGAGTGTACGAATTCAAATCGTAG